CTCCCCAGGCAACCCATTCTTGTTAAGGGTGGCTTTCATTGGCAGAAGTGGCTGAATTCTGTCAATCCCTGATGAGCCTATTCCTGCCTGGTTTCAGTCCCATTCACTTCCATCCACTGAACATTTATTAATCCCCAAACAGTCCTTACCCTCATGGAATTTACATTCAACTCAGGGATGTCACTTGTATGCAGACAATTACTTATCTGATGATTTAGATGGGAGCACTTGAGACAAGGCAGGGATTCAAGGAAGCCAGGTATTCCAAGAAGCTGACTTGAGGAGACAGATGAAGCCTTATGTACAAGGAACCATCAAGGCCAAATTAGCTGAACTGACAAGTGCGTGAAGAAGACTTAAAGGGATAAGGCCTCACCACTGCCCAGAAGCCTTTTTTTCTCCCACAACTGACTTTTTAATTGTCCTCTGTACAATGGCTGCTCCAGACTTCCTCCTCTCTCCTCTAGCCTCCCATCGCTGTCATCAGAGAACTTCACCTCCTCCTTAAACTGAGAAAATTAAGACCTTTCATCACAAGTTCCCTTTCACCAAAGCCCTCCAACTGGGCTGCCCTACATCCCACTCCCTTCTGTCTCTTCCTCTACCATTCACTCTCATCCTTTCCTGGCTTCTCCCCTGATGCCTGTGAACCTCATTCCCCGATCTCCCCCATTCTTCAAAAACAAAAACAATGTACACCTTCACTTGATACTACTTTCTCCCTCAAGCTGTATCTGATATCTTGTCTCCTATATCTTATCATAAGATGAATAAATGAATGAATGGGGAAAGCATTTATTAAGCACCATGTGCCAAGAGCTATAACATTCAAAGAGAGAACCCAGACAGTCTCTGCTCTCAGGGAGCCCACAGTCTACCAGGAGAAGACAACACATGGAAGAGAGTTTGGGTGTAGGGCAGATGGAAAGATCGAGGAGGCTCTTAGAACACAGTGATAGACAAGATGATAAAGCTTGGTTGACTATCTAGTTTGACTAGACTGTGAAAGGGAGATACATCTTCAAATAAGGTAAGTTATGTAAAGGGCTTTGCAAACTCTACAGTGGCATATAAATGCTAGCTATTTCATATCAATATAAAAGCCAGTATGTGGTGCAGTAGATAGTGCTGGACCTGGCATCAGGAAGACCTGAGTTCAAATCCCACTTGAGACATTAGCTGTACAACTCTGGAAAAGTCTTCACCTATGTCTGCCTCAGTTTCCTCATCTGTAAAATAGGGATATAATAACACCTACTTCCCAGGGTTGTTTGCAGTGCTTTGCAAACCTTAAAGCACCATATAGTTGCTAGCTTAATTACTATATCTTCTTCAGTGTCATTTCAATTCATGACACCATATTGGTTTCTGAGGTTGAACCATGCTGACAGTGCCAAGGACTTTTGTAAATAGAACTCTCTTTTCTGGCTGTCTGGTAGCTGTGGCAGCTGAGAAGGTGGGGACTACAGAGGCAGGGGCAAAATCCAAGTCTCCACCAGGGTTACTCCGGTGAACAATGGCAGGTGTTCACATGAGCAAATACTTAAAAGTTAGAAGGGAATGTGAAGGCCATATAATCCAACCTCCCTCATTTTTACTGAGGAGGAAACTGAGGTCAGAGAGGTTGTGACTTGCCCAAGGTCATTCTGGTAGTCAGTGGCAAAGCAGGGGTTTGGGTTTTCTTCTCCCTTTCACAGCCAAACTCCTAGGAAGCTTTGTCTAATATACCCTGGCCTCCATTTCCTTACCTCCAACTCATTTCTCACATTCCTCCAACTGGGCTTCCAACTCTACCAGTGAATAGAAGTGCTCACTTCAGGGTCACCCAACAGTGATCTCAACCTCTCCAATCAATGGCATTTCTCAGTCTTCATTCAGTTTGACCTCAACAGCTTTTTATATTTTGGTCTACCCTCCTCTCCTCCATGCCTCCCCCGGCTTCCATGGTGCTGCTCTCTCCTGGTTCTCCTTCTACCTGTCAGGTCAGTCTGACTGTCTCTCTGCCTAGATGATCCCCTCTTCTCTCTCTATATTTTCTCACTTGGTGATGTCTCCAGCACCCATAGGTTCAGTGATCTCTATGCCAATGACTCCCAGATCTGTGTATTCAGTCCTCTTCTCTATTGAGCTCTAGGTTCACACTTTCTACTAGACATCTGCATTATGATTAGACTGGAAGCTACTTGAGGGCAGGGAATATGTTTTTGCCTTTCTTTGCATCCCTAGTGCTTAGCACAGGGCCTGGCATATAGCCTAAGAAGTGCTTAGTGACTGACTATTTCCCATAGGAATTTCAAATTCACAATGGCCAAATTGGAACTCATCATATTCCCTGCCCTCAAGCCCTTTCATCTGCCCAATGTTCCCATTTCTGTCCAGATCACCATCATCCTTCTCACCCAGGCTCATGACCTCCTATTCATTCTTGGCTCCCCATTCTCCCTTTCGCCCCACATTTCTAAATGGCTGCCTTGTCTTCTCAACTCTCCCTCCACATTTCTCCAGCTACCCCCTTCTCTTCACTCACATAGCCACAACCCTCAGCCCCTGCCATCTTCACAACCTGGCTCCAACCCACCTCTCCAGCCTTATCCCTTTAAGTCTTCTTCACGCACTTGTCAGTTCAGCTAATTTGGCCTTGATGGTTCCTTGTACATAAGGCTTCATCTGTCTCCTCAAGTCAGCTTCTTGGAATACCTGGCTTCCTTGAATCCCTGCCTTGTCTCAAGTGCTCCCATCTAAATCATCAGATAAGTAATTGTCTGCATACAAGTGACATCCCTGAGTTGAATGTAAATTCCATGAGGGTAAGGACTGTTTGGGGATTAATAAATGTTCAGTGGATGGAAGTGAATGGGACTGAAACCAGGCAGGAATAGGCTCATCAGGGATTGACAGAATTCAGGCCCTCCTCTTCTATCAGGATCTGTCAGGCCAGAGCAGGACCCAAACTATCCCATTGGACTGGGCTCCCCATGAGACCTAGATAGCCCCCAACCATCAGCTTTAAACAGCCTGAAGGAATGAGGCCCAGAAAAGAGTGGTGGCCCCACTGGGAGCAATAGGGGATCTGGGGCCCAGAGATCATGCTGGAACTCAAGGGGTCCAGATCCCAGGCACTAGGATCTGGGAGGAATGACAGGGTGGGCAGTGAGAGGGCCTGAAGTTTGGGAGGGAGAGGTTGAGGGCAGTTAGAGCACCTGGGGCTATATTAGGAGGGCCCTCCTGGGTCAGAGGTGGATTAGCCTGGGGCAGTGGGGTTTGGGGGGCAGTTTGAGAGCCAAAGGTATATCAAGAAGGCTCTACAGGGTCAGTGGATGTGGGGATTGAGTAGAGGGTGTGTGATGGGGGCAGTTAGGGAGCTGTATGCAGAGGGCTCAGCGATTTTAAGGGCCTCAGGAATTTGTAGGGGAACCAGAGGAACAGGTAAGACAGGCAGCATTCCTCCTCCTCCTCCTCCTCCCCTTCTGCCTGCACCTCCTCTTATTCCACCTTGTCTTCTTCCTCCTCCCAGGGCAGGCTGGCCCCAAATTGGAGAGATCCCGTTTCCAGTAAGTCTCCAGACCTGCCCAGCTGGGGAATGTCCCCGCCTAGGTCCTGCTGGGAAAGAAGGGGGCGGGCCAGCAGATCAGCTGCAGCCAATCAAGGGAAAGCCTCAGGAACAGGAAGAGCCACCTGCTGCTTGCCCTGCCTCCTCCCCCAGCTCACCTGAGGCTGGTGAAGACAGGTAATCTTCCATCTAGATTTTCTTCTGGGTTTTGGCTTCCTTCCGGTCTCCCTGCCACCTCACCTTCTCCGCTGCTGTCCTTGGACCCTATGGACCCACACCTCTGCCTGCAGGTCAGTCCTCAGACTGTGCCTCCTTGAGATCCCAAACCTGGTGGGTGGAAGGCAAACAGGAGCCCAGCGTACACTGCCCCACCCCCACCTCTACCCTGAACTCCAGGACAAGTCACTGACCCTCCTTGGGCCTGTCAAATAAAGATGACGAAAGCTGACCTGCCCTGGTCATCTGGCAGCAAAAGAAGATGAGGAGTGATGTGTGGAGGGGCTGTGGACACAAAAGGACAAAGTCAGGCAGCTAAAGGTACTCCCCACCCCACCCCTCTCCCACCCCCAGGACTTATGGGCTCTGTCCGGGGAGCTACAGCCATGCCTCCTCCAAAAAACCCCGAGACAAATGCTGACTCCTCTCTGATGGGAGCCCAGGAGCTTACCACTGGTCCTTTCTGCTCTGGGACAGCTGTCCGTGTGGAGAAAGTTTCTCCTGACATTCAATTTCATCTGGCCTCTTTGCAACGTCTCCCCCCTTCCTGATTCTGCCCCCATTCCCCCTCCACTTGAGAGTCTTTCAGACACTTAAAGACAGCTCTCACGTATCCCCTGAACCATCTCCAGGCAAAACCCCCCCCCCCCCCCGGTTCTTTCAACCTAGCCTCCTGCAATGGGCGCCAAGCCCTTCCCCATTGTGGCTGTCAGTCAATCATCTCCTTTCCTCTGACACGGTCACTCCAGTAGTAGGTGAAGGGAATATTATGGAGTTTATTTAGCTGTTACAAAGGCTTTTGATGAAATATCTTGTGCTATTCTTGTGGAGGAGATGGAGAAATATGGAGTAGATGATAATGCAATCAGATGGATATGGAACTAATTGGATGGCCAGGCTCAAAGAGTAGGTAATTGTTAATGGTTCCATGTTACCATGGCAGGAGGTCTCCAGTGGACTACCTTCATCAGAAGAATTGGGGAAGAAAAGATAATGAGCTCTGCTTTTGGACTTGTTGAGCTTGATACATCCATGGGACATTCAGTTCAAGATGTTTAAAATGGTGTTAATGACAAGGAGCTGAAGCTCAGGAGAGCCTGGAGATGGATGTATAGATCTGGGAGTCACTGGCCTAGAGATGATAATTGACCCCATGATAATCAAGTAAAAATGTAGAGAAAGAATTGCGGGCCCAGGACAGAGCTTTGGGGTCATCCACAGTGAAGAAGTGTCATGTAAGTGAAGATCCAGCTAAGGAGACTTGGGTCAGTCTGGTCAGAAGCAAGCCAGGAGAGGGCAGTATGCCAAGAATCCAGAGAGGAGAGAGGCAAAAGTGTCAATGTGGCAAAGGCTGCAGAAAGTGTAAGAAGGGTGAAGATTAAGAAAAGGCCATTCAATTTACCAATTAAGAAAGATCACTGGTATCTTTGGGGAGAGAGGTTTGGATTGAATGTTGAAGCTGGAAGCCAGGTTGGAAAGGGTTGAGAAATGAGTGACAGGAGACAAAGCAACAACAAACTTAGACAGCTTTTTCTAGAACTTGGTGAAAGGAAGAAGAGAGGTAGGGGATGTAGGGTCAAATAAAATCTGGGGTTTGCTTTTTTTTCCAGATCAGGGGAGAGATGAATGTGTTGGTAGCAAAGAGATAGCCAGGAGACAGGGAGAGACTGAAGGTTGGAGAGAGGAGGACATGATGGGGAGGGGGGCAGTCTGTTGAAGAAGATGAGATGGAGCAGGAACTCATGTGCTTTTAGAGTGGTCTATCTTGACAAGGAGAAGGGCTACTTTTTTTAAAAATTTTCCCTCTGCTACGCATTGAGAAGGTAAGGAATATGATACCTATTATACATATGAAGTTACACATAACATTTCCACGTGTCATGTGGCAAAAAAAAAGCAATAAAAATAAAAATTTTAAATACTGGGATAGCTCGGTGACACAGTGAATAGAGCACTGGCCCTGAAGTCAGGAGGACCTGAGTTCAAATCTGGCCTCAGACCAAACACTTGACACTTATGAGCTGTGTGACCCTGCGCAAGTCACTTAACCTCAATTGCCTAAAGAAAAAAAGAAAAAGAAAAAAAATTTTAAATGCTTTAATCTGAATTTAGAGTTCATCAGTTCTCTCTCTGGAGGATGATAGCATTTTTCATCATAAGTCCTTTAGCATTGTATTGATCAGAGTAGCTAAGTCTTTAAAGCAGATTACAATATTGCTGTTACTGTGTAACAATGTTCTCTTGGTTCTGCTCACTTTACTCTTTATCAGCTCATATAGATCTTCCCAGATTTTTCTGAATCCACTTATTTCATCATTTCTTACAGCACAATAGTATTCCATCACAATCATATACCACAACTTGTTCAGCCATTCCCCAGTTGATGGACATCCCCTCAGTTTCCAATTCTTTGCCACCACAGAAAGAGCTCCCATAAATATTTTTGTACATATGGGTCCTTTTCCTTCTCCTTTGATATCTTTGAGATACAGACTTAGTATCAGTATTGATAGGTCAAAGGGTATGCATAGTTTTATAGCTGAGTAGGGCTACTTCTTTAGAGACTGGAGTGAAGGAAGAGATAGTGAGCAGAATATGTCAGAGAGGCATTAGATGAGGAGGGGCAAGAAGAGGTAGCTGAAGGTGAATGGCCTCCATTTTCTCAGTAAAGCTATGAGGTAAGGTTCTTAGCTGAGAAGTGGAAGACTGGAAGAGAGAAGAGAAAGTTGGAAACAGCCAGTGTGGAGAGAGGACTAGGGAAAGAACCCAGCAAGAATCAAAGGATTGCCTTGCTGCGGTAAGGACCCAGCTAACATTAGCCAACAGGATTATAGTGGACCCAGTCAGTATAGGTGGGTGACTTCCTGATCTCTCATAGGAACTGATAGGACAAGGGATGTGAGGACAGTATGGAGGTGAACTAGTCAGCTCCAAGATCAAGATTGGAAGAGAGGAAAGAGAAGCAACAGCCAGAGAGAAGCCCTAGTGACTAAGGGAGGCGGGGTGGGGGGTCATGGTGAGCAGAATCGGTGTCAGAGGAGTGAGGCACAGGGAGAGATGGAATGATAGGAGGTTAGGATCATAGAGAGGATTTCCAGATTTTGTGAACACATGTGGGTGACAGTAAGATCAAGGCTGCGATCATTACCCAGTGTGGCTAGGGTAGAGGCGTGGAGGAGGAAGTCATGGTAGTTGAAGAGACTGGGGAATTGGGAGGTCAGGGCATTTGAGGGAACATCAGTGTGTATATTGAAGTCTCCTAGTATAGCAGTAGAGGACAGGGTGCTGAGGAAGACTGTGAGTCAGGAACCGATTTCCTCGTGAAAGAGGGGAGAATGATTTTGGAGCTGGTGGATAATGACTTCTAGGGTATAGATTGGGTGACAAATTTGGCTAGCATGAACCTCAGACAAGGAGGGGTGGCTGAGCCACGGTGGCAGAAGGAGGGTCTGGAAGTGGCAATGGGGAGCAAAGACAATTCTGACTTTCCCACCTGAGGTGGGAGCATGAGAAAGGTACAGCCAGTGCTGGAGAGGATGGCCAGGGATGCCATGTCCAGGCAGGGGGCAAGATCTCAGTGAATGCCAGGAATGGGAAGGATTGCTGGAGGAGCAGTTCTTAAATCTGCTCTGGAGGCCCCTGGAAATCTCCAGCCCTTTTCAGGGGGTCTATGAGGTCAAAATCATTTTCATAATAATAGCAAGATGTTAATTTTGAATATAACCAAAATATCAATAGGTATAATCCACACAAATAAAAGCTCTCAGTAAGGGAACGGGAGGAGATATCAAATTTTTAAGAGTGTAAAGAGACCCAAAAGTTTGCAAACCCCTGGGTTGGAGAAAGAAGCCAGCCATGAAGGTGTGTGTTCATGCATCAGGACTTTTGGAGGGCCCTTTGCCAGGGAGGGGCCTTTTACTGATTTGGGCACCTGGCTTCACCTGCTGTCTTCCCTGATTGATCAGGAGCTCTTGTGCATTTTGTTTTCAGATCCTGGGTGGGCATTAGGGGCCCAGACCTGAGTGTGACACCTAGCAAGTGCCTGCAATTAGCCAGCATCATGACCACTAGAGATGGGCCCCTTCCCCTTTGGGAAAGGGAGTACCAGGAAGGGGGTGGGGTTCCAGCTCTCTGGGTGCTGCAGCCTCATGAAGCTGGTGGTGACAAGAGGCAGCTGAGGTCATGGGAGTGGCCTGAGGCTCAATGGGCCTTTATTCCAGGCCCTGCTGGGGACAGTGCTGAGAGCCCAGCTTTGGAGCTGTCCAGATAGGAGCCCCACCAGCTTAACATGAAGGAGCCAGAACACTGGAATCTTGGAAGGTGAGGGAGAGGGGCTATTGGGAGGATGGAAGGGGAGTGAAGGCAGAGATATTGCTGGGGAAGAGGATCCCTTAAAGGGCCTCAGGGAGGGGGATGGTACTGGAGAGGAGAGAACAGGGATCTTCCCAGGGCACCTTTAAGGAGATGTAAAGACAGATCTCATCTGTGTCTCTGTCTTCCTAGGTGACAATGGACTTGCTGTGGACTGTGCAGAGGGGCTTGACCCACAGGGCCTAGGCCAGCTGTGGGGGGGAGGGCAACCATGAAGCTGAGGCTTTGAACCCCCTCCATCCCCCCGTGACTCTCCTTAAGTCTCCCTGAGCTCTCCGGGCCCCCTACCTTCCCTGGTCCTCTCTAGCTCCAGCTTGGCCCTCAAGCGCAGCTGCAGCAGATGGCCCAGCTAGAAGCACCCCCTGGCCTGCAGCAGCATGGGGTGCCCATGTCTGTGAGCGGTGCAGGAGCCCTAGATGCGCTGGAGGAACATGTGGAACTATGGTGGTCTCAGGAGCCCCGGCGTGCAGCCCTCTGCTTCTCCGTGGCTGTGGGGCTAGTGGCTGGCTGTGGAGCTGGTGGGGTAGCCCTGCTCTACTCTACCAACAGCCGCTCAGGTGAGTGGCGCCTGGTGATGGGCACCGTCCTCTGCCTGTTGGCCCTGCTGGTGCTGGTGAAGCAGCTGCTGGGCTCAGCTGTGCAGGACATGAACTGTATCCGGCAACCCCAGCACGTGGCCCTGTTGCGCAGTGGGGGAGGAGCAGACAGTCTCGTGGTCCTGGTCAGTGGCCTGGTGCTGCTGGTCAGTGGCCTAGTGCTGGTCAGCCTGGCTGCTTCCCACACTTCTGGCCCCGGCCCCAGCCCCAGCCCAGCCAGGCCCCTGGCCACTATGCTAACTGCGGGCATCATCCTGGGTGTCATGGGGGCCCTCCTGCTGTTGGGACTGCTGCTCTACCAAGTCGGCATGGGAGGCCGCTGCCTTCTGCCCACCACAGCTACAGGCTCAGGTCGAGGCCGGGGACGAGCAGGCAGCAGCATCTTCAGTATCTCTGGACGGCTGCCAACCACGCCCAGCATCGCCAGCCTCCTCGGATTGGGCCACAGCAGCAGTTGAAACCCCATTTGACTTTCACTGGTGACCTCTAGGTCCAGCTACCAGCCTCTGCCCTCTGGCCTCCCACCTCACAGGCAACCCACCCCACCAACTGCCACTCCCTTGTCACTGCCTTCAGCCTCTACCTCCACCTTCTTCCATCCTCTGACTTCCAATACTGACCTCCAGGACCCTTCTCTATTCTCCCACCTTCCATCATCACTAACAGGTCTGGCTTACATGTGGTGATGGTCAACGTAGCTTGGCCATATGTGTTATCTGTAATCAGAAATCCCATATCTGTCCTGCTGTTCCTTTCCCACACATGAAAACTCCATCCTTCTTGGGGATCACCAGACCTTCCACCTTCCAACAGCCTCCTAAAAGCAGCCAAGCAGAAAATCCTCCATCCCAAGTCAGAGATTCTGTCTGAACCCCTTTAAATGAGATAATATTTGTAAAGCATGTAGCACAGTACCTGGCATATAGTAAGTCCTTAATAAATGCTTATTAACCCTCCCACCCAGTCAGAGACCCCCTCATGACCCCCATCCCACCTCAGGGACCCCCTTTAACCTCCCCATCCCAGCTCAGAGATTCCCCTCTGACCTTTAATCCAGACCAAGGACCCCCTGAGCCTCCCCATCCCAGCTCAGAGATTCCCGTCTGACCCTTAATCCAGACCAAGGACCCCCTGAGCCTCCCCATCCCAGCTCAGAGATTCCCCTCTGACCTTTAATCCAGACCAAGGACCCCCTGAGCCTCACCATCCCAGCTCAGAGATTCCCCTCGGACTCTCTCCCCAGCTTAGAAGAGACCCTCCCACTCCGACCTTGTTAACCCCTCTCATCTCAGGTCAGGCTCCCAAATAAAGGTGCTGGACAACACCATGCAGTGAAGTCCACATTTATGAAGCACTCCTGTGCACTGAGTTCTTAGATCAGACCCAGTTCTGACCCTAGGGAGACCCAACAGCCACAGCTCAGAGTGAGCTGGGTTGTTTCAGGCAGCCCACCAAGAGGGGCAAACCCAGAGCTGGGAAAACTTACAGGGACTTGTCCCTCTAGATTATTTCACTTGGGATCTCATCAGCTCCTGGTCTCAGTTATCATCTCTATGTAGATGTCTCTCATATCTATTCGTGTAACCCTAACTTGTCTCCTGACCTCCAGTCTCACATCTCCAGCTGTCTTTTAGATGTCTCATACTGGGTGTCTTGTAGACCTGTCCAAAAGTGAACTCATCATCTTTCCCCGAGAACCCTCCCCTTTTCCTAACTTTCCTCATACTGTCCACAGCACCACCAGCTTCCCAGTCACCCAGGCTCAAAATCTAGGCGTCATCCTCGACTCCTCCCTCTCTTCCCCCGTATCCAATCTGTTGCCTTGTCCTGTAACTTCTGTCTTCACAACATCTGTCTCCTGTACCTCTTTCCTCTGTCACCGTTCTGCTACAAGCCCTTGTCACCTCACCCCTAGACTATTGTAATAGCTGCTGGTTGGTCTCCCTGCCTCAAGTCTCTACCCATGCCAATCCTTCCTCCACTCAGCTGTCAAAAGGATCTTCCTGAAGCACAGGTCTGATAGTCCATCACTGCCCTCAACTGTGCTGGCTCCCTATTACCTTCAAGATCAAGTATGAAATCCCCTCTTTGACTTTCAAAGCCCTTCATGACCAATCTTCTTATGTCTTATATTCCTCCACATACCCTTTATTCCAGGTATACTGGCCTCCTTGATATGGCTTAACTGCAACACTCTGTCTCTCTACTCGCGTGGTTTTCGCTCACTGTCTCCTATGTCCAGAATGCTGTCCCCCTTCATCTCTGCTTCCTGGCTTCCTCAAAGTCCCAGACAAAATCCTACCTTCTACAAGAAGAGTTTCCCAATCTCCCTTAATGCTAGAACCTTTCCTCTGTGGATGACCACCAGTTTATCCTGTCTACATCTCCTTTGGTACACAGTTGTTTGCATTTTGTCTCTTCCTTTAGACTGTGAGCTCCTTGAGGGCAGGGACTTCTTTGTTGTTGTCTTATATCCCTGGTACTTAGCATATAACAGGTATTTAATAAATGCTCGTTTAACTGACTGATGTAAAAGTTAAGTAACCAGAACCAGAAAACAACATATACAATGACTACAACAATGAATATGAAAAGAACAACCACTACAAAAAATGGGAAAGTTACTGGTTGGTCCTGGATAAGAGATTAGAGAACCCACCACCCAACCATCTATGCGGAGGCAGAGGGTTATGGGTATGGAACACTGTGTATCCCAGTTAATATGGTGGTCAGTTTTACTGAACTATTTTTAAAAAGATATTCTTTGTTACATGGGATTGTTATCTGAGGAGAGGAGGAGGAAGGGCTATATTTGTAAAGGAAGTTGGAAAAGAGATCAATGAAATTAAATAACTAACTTGAAGGAAATAGGATAATAAATGTAGTCAGGTGGGGTGTTGGCTAAGTTGCTGTTCAAGGTGGTGATTACCTGGATAAACACACTAACCACCACCTCTCCTTGCTAGGGCTTATTTCATTGTTAAGTCTCTCCAGAGGTCACCACAGTCTGGGGATTGGGGATCTCCAGCATCATTAATTGCAGTAATTAACTCTCTAGTTGGCTCTGCCCCCTTCTCAGCCTGAGCTAAGTAAAATCTGTCCCTTGTGGGTTAGCTTCCCCATCTCAATCTCCAACTATGTATTTATTGGCTGAGATCAAAATTCTTGTAAATGGCTGAACATTTTAATAGCAGTCTTGATGTGGTTTGGGGTTTCTGGGAACCTTGAAATGTCAGGGTACAGGGTGGTGTCCGCCTGGAATTAATTCACGCACTCAAACCTTCCAATCAAGAGACAAGGTTTATTATAGCACCTATAGGAGCTAGTGAGATTCTTAGGGAATCTGCAATTTAATGGGGATGCGGCTGGTGTTTCTATACAAAAGGGACCGTGAAAGGATCTGGATAGGATTGAAGAGTGGTAAGTAGTCTGGGGTAGGCCAGGTGCAACAGTGAAAGGACAATCAGGCAGGCTAATTAGGGATTAAGGAGTAGTCAGTATATGCCAGTATTCTGGGGTTTGGCCAAGAGCCTGACGGGTGAAAGGAATGTCAAATAAACTAATTAGGTGATCTAGGTGGGTCGGGGTGGGCCAATTGCTTGATCTGGGCCACTGAATTGTGTGGGAAAATCCAGGGACTGGGTTGCTTTCAAAGACACGGTCTTTTCCTTCTAAAGGTCCGGGTCCCATCACTCCATCAATATACCCCATTAGGAATATAAAGGAGCAGTTAAAGAAACAGTTCCACTTTCAGGTCACTGTGGCTATGGGGGGTGGGCCCCTCCTTCCATCAATTGGAGGGGAAATAAATGTTGGTGTTTTTCCAGGACAACATTCAGGGAAACAGGTGATAGGGGCTGGACTGGTATAGTTGCCCCAGCTCTGCTCTCCTCCCCTCTCCTGTCCCCAGCCTCTGCTTACCCAAAGATATCTCTCCCTGCCTCCCTGCAGGATCCCCCACTGCAAGAATAGGGGGTCAGTTCTGCCCTGGCTGCCCCATTGCTGCTTCCCCATGGATTCTCCTCATCTGGGCCACCGGGCTTCGTGGTGGAAGCTTTCAAAGGTAAAATGACCTCAGAAACTTGGGGAGTTCTAGGTAATGGCTATCTCCATGGCAATGCTCCTGAGGAAGGGAGGACAGCTTGAGAAGGTCTGGGGGACTGGATCCTTGATGCGCAATCAGCTGGAGGAGGAGACGGCTGAACAGAAACAAGGTGCAGTCTTGGGGTGCAATCTTAAGAGAGGCAGAGCTTTCAGGACTAAGCAGGTAACTGGCCCTCTGCCCCAGCCAGACCACGTTGGGAGAACCGTGTTCAGTTCTGGGCAGCTTTCATTAGGAAAAGCACCGAGGCAGCCTCAGCATCCCGGGGAGAGTAACCAGAATGGTGACGGACTTTCGGTCCCTCAGTCCAAGAACTGATCCAAAGAACTGAGGCTGTGCGGCCTGAGTATTGATACTCAGGAGACTCACGTTGTCTTCCGGTACCTGCAGGACTTTGCTGAGGAGGGATCAGCGTCCCAGGGGGCAAACCTTGTACAATTAGGAGAAGTTGTGGGAGGGCAGTTAAGCTTGATGTCAGGAAAGATGTACTAACAACTGGAGTTATCCAAAAGTGGGAGGACATCCTTCTAATTGAGGGCAGTATAATAATTAATTAATAACAATAACTTGCATTTGTGTAGCAATTTAAGATTCACAACGTACTTTACAAATATGATTTCATTTTATCCTCACAAAAATTCTTGAGGAGTAAGGTGCTATTATTATCCCCACTTTATAGACGAGGAAACTGAGGCTGAGAAAGAGCTGTAGTGACTTGCACAAGGTCACACACCTACTAAGTGTCTCAGGCTGGATTTGAACTCTGGTCTTCCTGACTCCAAGGCAGCCAGGAGGTGCTTTATCTGCTATACCACTTAGCTATGTGACAAAGAGTTAGATTTGAAGCCAGGAAATCCGATTTCAAATCCTGCCCCTGGCACTTAGCAGTCATGTGGTCATGGGCAATTCACTAGACCTTTCTCTGCCTCAGCTTCCTCATTGGTAAAGAATGGATAGTCATCCTTGCTTGCCAGCCTCAAAGTGCGGTATGTGTAGAGGCCCCCAGTTATTATTAACTGGAGGCCTTTGAGTGAAAGCTGGATACAATTCAATGCGATAAGCATTTATTAACGTGACACCTGAAGTAAAGCCTGTTGGTTCGGGATTCTCATTATTGGTGGAGGTGAATGCCCTGCCCTGAGTGAGGGGCAGACAGGAGTTGTCCAGAAGCCAGAGCTTCAGGTCTCAGAGAGTCCCCCTTTGGGATTCTGCAAAGAAGAGTGTTCTCTGAGCATCCCTAGTCGACTCCCAGCTTCAAGGGAGAAGATGGAAGAGCCCACCCTGAGTTCAGGTTTCTGAAGGTAAAGACTCTGGGAAGACCAGAGAGGAGCCCATAGCCTCCCTCATGTCCCTATCCCAGTCCGCTCCACCAAGGCTTCAGGGAACTTTCCCTCTGCTGAGCTGAATTATCTTGGGGAGCGCCTTCAGCCTGAATTGTCTGGTATATATTCTCCTATGTATATACCTTCTCTGATTTTTGTTTGCTATGATTTGGACAAAGGAGTTTTCTTGGCTAATTGTTACGTGTATTCATCATGGAACTGATATTTAGTTGGAAATGGGTCAAACTCGGGGTCCCCCCTTCCCTGCAAAATGACAAAACAATGAAAAGTTAGTTTGAAGCTGATCATATAGCCTAGTCTAATAATATTTAAGGGAACAGATAGATATGTTTCTAGCCTGGTATCCCCTCTCTCTGAGGGGTAGCCTCCAGCCCCAACGTCCCACTGCCCCTCCTAGCAAGAATGAAAGTCTCTCTTGGAGAAGGGCGGGGAGAAGAGCTTAGAGATATCTATTCTGCCTCCCTTCAGCCCCCTCGAACCTCTTGTGTGCCAAGCGTTGTGCTGAAAGCTGGGGATACCAATGCAAGGGAGTCTCTCCTTCAAGGAGCACACATTCCAAGGTGGGGAGAGGGGAGAACATCATGTCCATATATAAGGGTAGTTTGGGGGGGAGGGCTGGGAAAGGCCTCTTAGAGGAGGTGAGATGTGAGCTGAAGCTGAGGATTCTTAGAGGCAGATGTGAGTAGAGAGAGCATTCTGTAGTATGAGTGACTTGTTCCAGGAACAGCAAGGAGGCCGGTGTTTCTGGACCCTGGAGTGCACGGACAGCAGTAAAGTATAATGAATCTGAAAAGGTAAAAAGAGGCCAGCTTGTAAAAGATTTGAAATGCCAGCCCTGTTTATATTTTTTCCTGGAGGTAATAGGGAGCCACTGGAGACGGCTATTGCATAGGGAGATAACAGGGTCAAAACTGTTCATTCAGTCACTTTGGTGGCTGGAGATGGACTAGAGTAGGGAGAAACTTGAGGCAGGGAGACCCCCCAGTGGCTTTTGCAGTGGTCCAGGGGTTGAGGTGATAAGGGCCTGCACCAGGGAATGTATTTGAGGGACATTACAAAGGTGGAAATGACCAGATTTGGCCATTGGGAAGAATTTGAAGAGAGAGGGTCATCAATCAGGGAGGGGATGGAAAGGTTAGGGAAAGGCTCCTGGAGCAGGAGTAGCATCTGAGTAAGCCTTAAAAGAAGCTAAGGTTCTAGGAAGGAGACAGGTGAGCAGGAAATGCACTCCAGGCATGAGGTCAGCTAATTCAAACGTGTGGAGCTAAGAGATGGATTCAGCCAATTTAGCTGGAACAGTGAGTTTGAACAGGGAAGTCATGCGTGGAAAGGCGGGCTCAAGCCAGGCTGAGCCCAGTTCTTGGTGCCCAGTTTTGGGATTTGGATTCTGACCTCCAGGCAAAGGTGGAAAATTATTCCAAGGGCATTCCAAGCTCCAGTATTGGTTGGACTGAGTGTCTGAGGCCCTTTCAGGGTTCTCCCCTCCCTAAGACTGTGACTTGGGATAGCTTTTTAAGTTCCCTTGGTTTGTGGGACTCTGGGATTTGGGGGATCTGAAGGACTTGGGGTCCCTGAGCTCCAGGTCGAGGTCCTAGAGGAGGGTACAAGTCGTCTCCTGGGCCCTCCCTTCCCCCCACAGAAATCTCTATCCTCCAGGAAAGTCAGAAAGCCAGAGCTGCAGAAGGTGCCGCCCATCGGCATGGGGTCAATGTCCACAACCTTCCCTTTTCCTCTCGGTTTCCGGGGCCTCTCTGCCGCCCTGCTCTGGCCTGGCCTGGCCCTGCCCCAGGTACCTGTGCTCACCGCCCTCCATGAGCACCGAGCCTTTCCAGGCCAAGGCCCAGGAGTGGACATTCCCCTGGCTTCCGGGAGAACCAACAGAATTTTCCCAAAAGCAATTATACTAAAGAACTGCAGGAGCAAATGAGAGAGATACCTGAGCCGAGAGACCAAAGGTCTCTGATGCTAATGTGTGTATCTGGCCGAGCGGCCAGCCCTGACAGAAGCTTCCCTGCCTCTCCCA